CACATAACTGGGCAGATTGCGTGGACTGCTTTGGGGCGTGAGTCGGCTGGCTTCCGAGTCACGGCGCTCGACGCACCGTCTTCGTCACATATTCCGATCACACATGTAGCAGGAAAGCCGCATTGAGAAGGAGCCGAGACGCACACTTCCCACTTGCCTGGGAGGTGGCAGTTGGGTGCTTGCTGTGGGTGATTCTGATGAGCAGTGAGTTGCTAGATAGGGAGCATGTGATGATGTGGAGCAGCCAGCAATTGTCTGCCGCATGTTTTCGTGGACGTAAATGTGACCTAGTAGACCCATGCGGTGAATAAATGTGACAGTGCAATGTGGACAGTGGAGGCGGATGCGTGGGGTGTAAGTTGGTGCTCCAGGCACTGGTTCGCCAGTCTCTTTCTGATGAATTCACGAGAGACTGACCAGGCCGATGTATGGGGTGAAGGTGCGGTTGCAATGAGGACAGGTATATACCGGGTCCTTATCACTGGTGTCCACGGTTGTGGTGCCGGCGTTTGTCGGTGTGTCGGGGTTGTATGTAGTGTTGATGGGAATGGCAGACGCCACAGCGGCAGACGTTGAGGTGGTGGTTGTGGGGGGAGGAGGAGGAGGAGGATGGCAGTTATGGTGGTTCGGGAGGGTGGTCAACGTTAGTTTACGGCGTAAAAGGCGAAGTAGAGGTGGACGGGCTGACGAAGTTTGGTGAAGTTGATCCGGAGCAGTCCAACAAGTCCAACTGACGTTCGGAATGTCCGTTGGCATCGTAAGCACGTTTGAGGCGGTTGGGCGTTGACGTTTTGAGGTGGCGGGGCGGTGGAGGCGGCGACGGTGGAGACTTGCGTCTCGCGTTTGGCTTCGGCGTCGATGGTACGGTTGGCTCCGAAGAATGCTGCGCCTGTCTTCATTGTTTTCCTCCACGCAGTTCGGTCCCAAGCGAGGTCGTCTCAGTTTGGCGGCTTGATCAGCAGGCGCTTCAGGTTGATTTTCGGAATATTCCTGTAACGCCGGACTTAATCTCCTTGTCGGCGAGAACCCGTAGCGACATCTCCATAGAAGAGGCGTGCGGTTAGCCTCTCGTCGTCCATCCGTACGAGGTGGCCGCTCCAGCGTAGTTGTCGCTGTCTCGGCATAGAAAGGATGCTGAGGATCCCCATCCGCTCCTGCACGTCAGTGTCTGGGATCCGGCCCTGCCACCCCAGCTTCAGTATGCGAGGTACCTGAAACACGGCTGTCACTCCAGTGAAATCCAGAAATAATGCCGGGCCTCGGTTTGGATTTCCACAACGCAAAGGACCTCCAGCAGCGACGCTTGGTAGAGGTAAGGAGATTTTTAGTATTTTTGGCAAATTTGATCGGTCATGTTTCCCGACCCACCGGGCTACGAGGTGGCCGCTCCAGCGTAGTTGTCGCTGTCTCGGCAAAGAAAGGATGCTGAGGATCCCCATCCGCTCCTGCATGCCAGTGTCTGGGATCCGGCCCTGCCACCCCAGCTTCAGTATGAGAAGTAGACAAATGAGCTGTGAGTGGTCGAGTCTTCGTGCTTGCTCCATGTACGCCGTCCTGATCTCTGCTCCATACAGCAGCGTCGGAAGAAGAATGACGACCTCGTACATCTTCAGTTTCATGCTGAGCTAAAGACCGTGACGTTTCAAAACTGTGTTTTGAAGACGACCGAAGGCTTGACTGGCTTTGGAAATCCGACGAGCCACTTCATCGTCGATTTTGGTGCTGCAGGAGGGGGTACTGTCCACATACAGGAAGTTGTCCTCCACTTGCAGGTGAGTTCCGTTCACGCTGATTTGCGACGCATTGTGGGCGCTGTTGGGTGGCGGTTGGTGCATGGCCGCCATCTTCTCTGTGCTGATGATCAGGCCGAAGTTCTTATAGGTGGCAGAGAAGAGACGGATGTTCCTTTGCATGCCTGCTTCAGTAGTTGCGCAGTCATCGGTGAACAGAAGTTCGTGAACGGTGGTTGTGGAGACACGCGATGGGAGTTGCATCCTCCGGTGGTTGAGCAGATGACAGTCCGTCCTGTGGGCGATGCGGATCCTGCGGCGTTTGTCACGGTAGGCGTCCATCAGCATGGCAGAGAACATGAAACTAGAATAGTAGGAGTTAGAACGCAACCCTGCTTCGATCCGTTGGTCACTGCGAATGCATCTGAGACAGCTCCATCATGCCATCGTGGAGCTGGCGCACAATCTGGGTAAATCGTTCGGGACAGCCGGATTTCTGTATGGTTTTCCACTGTCCTTCACGATTCACCGTGTCGAAGGCTTTCGTCAGATCCACAAAGGTACGGTACAGGTGGGTCCATATCTCCTAGTACTTCTCCTGGAGTTGACGGGCGGCGAAGATCATGTCGGTGGTCCCACGATAAAGGTGGAAGCCGCACTTGCTTTCCAGCAGGATGGTTGTTAGGACGGTTGAGAAGGATGCGAGCGAAGATCTTCTCAGCGATGTCCAGCATGGAGATACCTAGATGGTTGTTATAGAGCTGGCGATTACATTTCCGCTTATACAGTGAGTGACCGATCTCATGAAATGTTGGCTGAAATTCTGAAATGCGTTTTCGATTAGGATGGAATACCTGGTCGCGGTTGTAATACTGATTATCTTAAGACATACTCCTATTATATTTTGGACTCGGCAGAATGTCGGCATTTAAATGCACTTCTTTTCAATCTCCTGAAGGGAGCATACTTGGTAAAAAATGACTACTTAAATAGCATGGATTTTCCCAATTGATTTTCGATGGTCTTGGAAATGCAAATATATCTTATAGAGACCATAAACAAAAATATGTTTTCTTTTTGTCAATCAATAGAGAGTCATGTCTTCTTTATATTTCACACTTAAGTAAGGAGTATAATAAGGTTTTAAAGAAGTTTTCTAATTACCAAATAATTTGGAGCATGATCATTCGTTGCATTAGCGCTTACTGATTTTACTCTACAAGGTGCATGCGTTCCACGTAAAGAAAATCACATATTTTTCCATACCATTAAAGAGATATCATACAGAGTCCATAAAATTTTGCAATGGATGCGGACCAAGTTGTACATTTCATGAGGAACAGTGGTAAACGGCCAGGTACGATGCTGTGTGAATGGACATTTCGCGGTCTTAAAAAGTCTCATAGTTCGCAACTTTTTTAAAACCCAATTATTCTCCTTCCTTAAGTATAAAATAAAAAGGAGACGTGATTCTCCATTGATTGACTAAAAGAGAGCATATTTTTGTTTACGTTTTCTATAAGATATATTTTAATTTCCAAGGCCGCAACCTCAATGCTATATGCCATCAAGCGGGCATTCGTAGTTTTCGATGAAGACTGCTTCACCAAAGTCTTCGGCAGGTTTATAAGGCCCCATCTCGAATACGAAATTCAGGCCTGGAGACCGTGGACGCATCAGGATTACGATCTGCTCGAAAGGGTGCAGAGACGAGCAACAAAATTAATAAGAGGTCAAAGTGCACTGCCATACGAGATCCGCTTAACTAACCTTAATCTCTATCCTCTGAGTTATAGGCATTTGCGCGGAGACATGATACAAACTTTCCGTATCGTGCGCGGCTTGGATTGTGCCCTTCGGCGCGATGACTTTTTCCAACTCGCCACTACAACTCACCTCCGGGGACATCCCTTAAAGCTACGTGTGCCACAGGGTAGACTAAATGTGAAAAAATATTTCTTCTCCAACCGTGTCATGGAACCGTGGAATAACCTGCCCGAGACGGTTGTTATGTCTCAATCTGTGGAGACATTTAAATGTCGCCTTGACAGATATATGCTGCAGCAACAAGCGGACTATGTGACTTTTTAGCCATGTGACAAGTGACATATGTTAATCAATGTATGCATTTACTTAATGCTGTAATTTCTTCACATTTTTGCATGTTTATCGATTTTTTTATGTACAAATAGGGAGTTAAAAGGCGTAAGCCTATTTCCCTCAAATACACTGACTGACTGACTGACCATCGAAAATCAATGGGGAAAATGCATGCTCTCTTCAGGAGATTGAAAAGAAGTGCATTTAAAAGCCGACATTCTGCCGAGTCCGAAATATTATAAGAGTATGCCTTAAGATAATCAGTATTACGACCGCGACCAAGTATTCCATCCTAATCGAAAACGCATTTCAGAATTTCAGCCAACATTTCATGAGATCGGTCACTCACTGTAGTTGGGCGATTGTGGCTTCTTGGAAATCCTGCGGTACTTCGTCTTAACGCCAAATCTCCTGGAAGAATGCCATCAGACGATCTATGAATTAGGGGCCACCGTACATATAGATTTCAGCAGGAATCGCATCTGATCCGGGCGCTTTCACGCTGAAGATCTGCTGCACAGCCCTGATGGTTCCGTGGAGAGAGGACGGAAGGTTGAGGTCGGCGTCGGTCTCCACTTGAGGCAGACGAGCGAGGACGGCGTCAGAGATGATGGAGAGGTGGTTGAGGACGCCTCTGAAGTGCTCGGCCCATCGCTGAATAATTTGGGTCTTCTCAATGAGTCGGGTACTCCTGTCGGTGCCGATAAAGGATGCAGTTGCCATAGTTGGTGGACCGTAGACAGCCTTAATCACGGCGAGGAATTTCTACTATTCTTGGCGGTCCGCGAACCCTTGGATCTCCTCGGCCTTATTGACCGCCCAGGTGTCCCGAATCTCCGCAGCCGCTGTTACACAAGATGACGACTGCGATATAAGGCCACTTTGTAGTCGTCTGTCCGGCAGTCGACGTAGGATTTGTGCAGACGGTCCTTCTCGGTGAGCAGGTTGCTGATGGTCCTGATGTTGGTGACGTGCGTGACCGAAGACAGCTAGGGTCGCAGACTGGACTCTGCCTCGCAGTTGGCATCATCAGCTATCCACCAGGGTGTTCTCCTTGATGGCGTCGGTGGCGGCGGCCGGACGGTTGACCGGCCTCTTAGCTAGCTTTTTTGCTGAATTGAAGATTTGGGCAGGCGAAGACAACAAAGCAATGTTCAGCCTACCTTGGGGTCACTTATCTTGTGGTCTCCTGCGAGGCTGTAGGCGAATACGCATCTTCGAGATGACGAAGCGGTGGTCGGTCCACCCATCAGCACCCGCGATCGCCTTTGTCACCAGCACGTTACGCTGGTCTCGCCTCCTACCGAGGACACAGGCCAGCAGGTGCCATTTACGCGACGGAGGGTGCGTCCAAGTGGCATTCTCTTGCATCAAGCGGCGGAATTGAGTGTCGGTCAGGAGGAACCGGCGTTCTGCGCAGGTTCGTGGGAGAAGCAGGTCATTGTCATTAGAGCCGTTGAGACCAGGGCGACCCAGCACTCCACTCCACGCCGCATGATCTGTGACAACACGAGCATTAAAGTCACCACTGGCATTCAAATTATCCGAATTCGGCTAAGACGTCAGGATGGCATGTAGGTCCTCGTAGCATTTGTTCTTCGCCTCCTCAGGGCTGGTGATCGTGGGAGCTTAGACACTGACGACGGTGGCGAATTCACCTCCTTGGAGAGGAAGACTAAGGCTCATCGGACGATCGTTAATGCCCTGCGACAGACAGGGCAGTCGTCCAACGATGTCGTTCCGGATGGCGAAAACGACACTAGCGTTCTGTCCCTCTGCCTATGCACGACCGCCCCAGAAGAAGGTGTAGCCGGTACCAACCTTGTTCGGTGGACCAGGTCCCGCTGAGTGCTGCGATGTCCACCTTGTAGCGCGCCAGTTTCCGAGCCACCAGCGCCGTCTTCCGTTCCGGTCGGTTGCTCCTCTGATAGTTTAAAAGGGAACGAACACTCCAGGCCGCCAGAGTGGGCGGATTCTCCCTAACATTCTGGTGAGTGGGGCGGCGGGGGGGGAGGGGAAGATAGTGAGTGTGTGTTGTTTCTTGCTTGATTGTTTCAACCGTGAGTTTTGCGACTGAGGTCACGGTCAGACTGCAGATGGCGTGGATTCCCAGCATTTGTTTAGAGCACATTTTCTGATCCCTTCCCCCTTACGGGGTGAGCGGTGGTCTCCCTTAAAAGGGCTCAGTTGTCCCAGATGTTTTCCCTGTACTGTTACTGCCCATCGAAGTGGAAGCAAACAGGCATACTTTATATGATAAGGCGAATGTGGTTCCAGGGGCACCACAGCTTATAATTTGTTAGTTTCGTTGAATTGTCTCGTCTAGAATGTTTTTTAAACAACATTTGTTTCTTTCGCGTTTTTGCTGCGTCTGGTAATATTGTTTACGCCCTTGATTGTCAGGTTCTTTTTGGGACGCGACCTTCTCAAACAGACCCCTTATTCAGATTAATGCGTCACATTATGAAGCTTTACTCGGGTCTCATGGTTAAATATTCCAATGCCTACGCATTCTTTAAAAAATCACTTACTTGGAATAAACACCCATCCATCTGGCATTCAGTTTGCCTGGAGTGAACGTGAGACCTTGAGACATCTGATACTGGCTGCCTCATCGTGAACTATGCGGATCTAGTTGTTCACATCCACACTCATTTCCGTTGGCGAATAAAGTGCAAAATGCCGTTTTTCAGTAGATCGTTTTTAAAATCGTCTACTG